AAATATGATTCAGGCAGCAAGTCATTCAATCACAGAATTTTTTTCTTTTTCTTTTTTTTTTGATTCCCCCAGCCCCCTTCTTAAAGTTCCATATACGTTGCATTTTGGAACTTTTATCTGTGTGTGTTTTTTTTAACACTGCTTTTTTTTTTAATATAAACTTTTCGCAACAAACCCCTGGATTGATATCAAATATAATTAAAAATTAACAACAGGTGAATACATTGTATCAAAAAGTACGAAGATAAACATTTTCCTCCATGCACCTTATATATATATATATAGTCTGCGCTATATATATATATAGAGGTCAGTATATATTTGTATCATATGTATATATTTTACATGCAAACGTTATTTATTCAAAGTATAGCCACCACTAAACTGATTTTGGATGCAAAAAAGAAAGAAAGAAAGAAAGAAACATGATGGGTGCATTTTATGTTTTGGCAACTCGCTAGAAGAATTCAGGGAACATCTGAGCCCTGAACATCTGGTGTCTTGGTGGACCTTCCCCGTGGTGTTATCTCAACAGGAGTTGAGAAGTGGTTTGCTGTTGACCTCTTTTGAGCTGTCCTTCAACTTCCATGCATGGCTTCCACAATCCTGGGATTTTCTGTTGCTCACTTGTACAAAGACTAACCAGCTCCCACTTGGATCACAATTTTTTCAACCTCCTCCAAGGTTGGCTAGGTGTTGCCATTTGCTTAAGGGTAACCTCAGTGTAAGAGTGAAGACTACCTCAAGTGCAACCTCAACGAAAGACTGAAGACTATCTTGAGGACAACCTCAAAGAAAAACCAAAGACTTCCTCTAGACTACCTCAAGGAAAAATTATTGCCCGGTGATTCAACTTTGCTCAATGATGCAATTCTGCTACTTTGCGTGTTGAACGCTCAACAGCCTTGTCTCTCGGTGACAAAGTCTGAAGCTTCCTTCAACACTTGATCAACCAATTCTCCTCTTTGGAGGAAGTACCAGCTCATTTGGTCCCTTGAAAGTCCTCCCTTGATGGTCACACCACAATCTCTGGAATGGAATCCTTTGTGATAAACTCAATTGGAGACAATGTGTGCCTTGAAAAGAGAGCGGTGTGGATTCTATGAACCAGCGGGAAGCCAGTTGCCAAGGCCACGTCTATACATGCATTTGAACAAGTGGCAAATATTCGTGATCATCCTTTCCCCCCCCCCCCGACATCGCCCAGATGACCTCGCCGTGATCGTCATCTCCCAAGGCCAAAAATGTTAATGATTCAAAACTGTCATTTTGCGGCTGTGAACTCCACTTACAATTCAAGAGGGTTGTTGCATCATACTGGTTTAATAAGAAAAAACGGGAATGCAGGACAGCGGTTACAGAATAAAACCAATCAACCCACCCAGTTCCCCCAAGTTGGGAGAAAACAGAGTCCCAACGAATTCTCCGCTTCGTATCTTGGAATATTTATTTTTCTAAAATCCCTCTCCCGCCCCCCCGGTTTTGGTTTTGTTTTTGTTTTTGAAATGATTTCCCAAGAAAGTATTTGTGCCTTCCTATTGGTAAAAGGTAGAAAAAGATTTGGTCACAGTCATGCTGATGCCTGAAAAGGGGAAAGGAAATGCCAGCCGGGTTAAGTTGTACAATGCGTCATGGATTTCATTCCCATTCCCAGTTGGAGTTGTGAAAAGGTTTTGCTATCGTTGCATAGCCCTGGTTTAATTTTGCTGCATTTTTTTTTATTTAAAAAATGACTTTTTAAGAAAAAAAAGAACCACGCATCCTCTACCCAAGAAGGACAAACTCTTGTTCTTGGTTAATCGGGTTTTCTGCATATGTCATCCATTAAAAAAAGAGAGAGATTTCTATCAAGCCAGCCTAATTCTTTGCCTCACTTCACCCCAGTGACTCGTTCAGGTTAAATTTGTATCCCAAAATGTAAATTTAGAAAGAGCCTTAGAAATTCAATACAGGTAAGTCCCCAGCTTACATCCATTCGTTTAGTGACTGCTTGAGGGACTTCTGACCGTTGTTGGGTTTTTTTTGCATTTAGGACTGTTGCGGCATCCCCATGATCACGTGATCAAAATTCAGAGGCTCGGCAACTGGCGTGTACTTAATGACAGTTGCTCTGTCCCAGGGTCATGTGATTAACTTTTCTAAACTTCCCAGCCGGCTTCCGACAAGCTAAATCAATGGGAAAAACCAGGTTCACTTAACATTTGGCCAAAAAGTTCATAAAAATGGGGCAAAACTGACTGCCTTGCTCAGCAGTGGAAATTTTGAGCCCAGCGGTGGTTGTAAGTGAAGAACTACTTCCCGTCATAAGGGGAAACTATCAGGAAAAGCATTGGTTGCCCAGTGTGCTAATTCTGGTAGTTTTGAAGATGCCCTCGTTGTTTTTTTCTTTATTCTTATGACATCCAATATTTCAGCTGCACTTCCATGGGACAGCTGTTCAGTTAGAAGACTCTCAGCCCTAAAGTAAACTGAATAATACTCCTATTTGCATGTTCAAAGATGTGGATTAAAAAAAAGCGAAAGATGTTATACAGGCACGCACGCATGCATCCATACACACACGTGCGCAATCTAGGGATGAGATTACTCAGAGAGCAGATTCTGGAAAATACAGCTTTTAAAAGGGACAGGAGCAACTTTCTGAAATGCTTTAACTTGAATTCCTGAATGCTGGCCTCAATTCCTTTTTCCAATAAGAATAGAATAGAATAGAATAGAATAGAATAGAATAGAATAGAATAGAATAGAATAGAATAGAATAGAAAATGAAAGAACAGAATAGAATAGAATAGAATAGAATAGAATAGAATATGGAATAAAATAGAATAGAATAGAATATGGAATAAAATAGAATAGAGAATGAAAGAATAGAATAGAATAGAATAGAATAGAATAGAATAGAATAGAATAGAATAGAATAGAATAGAATAGAATATGGAATAAAATAGAATAGAGAATGAAAGAATAGAATAAAATAGAATAGAATAGTTGGAAGGGACCTTGGAGGTCTTCTAGTCCAACCCCCTGCTCAGGCAGGAAACCCTATGCCATTTCAGACAAATGGCTTTCCAAACCTCTGGTGTTGGAGCATTCACAACTTCTGGAGGCAATTTACGAGCAAGTGTACTTGCTCTGTTTTTTCCTCCACCAGTCCCCTTCCGACAAATAATTTGAGCTCTCTTCCTTCTTTCTTCCTACCTATCCTCATCCATGCCCAGAACCTCAGCTGCTTTGGGCAGTACGTATCTTCCAGTCAACGAAATGGGATAAGCCTTCCAAACATCTTCCATTAGCAAGACTGTCTTGCTGAACTTGGAGGGAGAGCACGCATGCATCCTAAACTCCATGTGTGCAAGACGTTAAAAAAAATAAAATAAAAAAAACCACACAGACACACAGACAAGCATACAGACCCAAACAGGGGGGGGGAGGGAATAAAGAATAAAAATAGAATCTCATCCCTGAGAATCAGAATTAACTCCAACCGCCGCTTGGGTGAAGGATCTGCCCCCAAGGCGCTCCGGAGACTCAGTCCCCAAGACATGACTTAAATCTGAAGAGCTATAGCGTTCCTTTCCCCTTGCTTTCAATGGGTTTTGCAAAAAGCATCCATCCTGACGCAGAATGCTTCTTGCTGCACCTTCCAGGACCAGGATCTCGTCCCATCAAATCGAACTTATTTTATTTTAAAAAATTTTTTTTTCTAAAATCGTTCTCCAGCCTTGCAAGGTGGAAAGATGGAAAACCAAGCTCTGGATGAATTTGAGGGCCGACTAAAAGCCATGCCAGCAGATCACAGAAGCTTCTCTCCTCAACCCTTTCCATCCTGCCTCTCCCTCTCTTATTTTTTGGGGATGTGGGGATGTGGGGGGGAAGGATACAAAGGCAACTGCATTGTTTGCCACGAGAGGTTCCCAAAGATTAGGCACTTAGAAGTAAAGAATGGGCGCCTTCAGGAAAGGAAGAAAAAACAAAAAACCCCAACAACCTGGGAATGGCCAGCAGACTAATTGTCCACTGGAGAGGAATCTCCCATTTTGGTGGTGTTCTTGTCTTGCTTTCTTTCGCTATACAATTTAACCTCCCTCCCCACCACCACCACAAAAAGTGGACACAATGAAAAGGAAAAGTTTATCCAACAGCTCAATAGAAAACATGACAATTCTGTCCACCCTCCTCCTCCTCCTCCTCCTCCTCCTCCTTCATCCCCTCTTCAGCTCAGATTTGTAAACAAGATGAAAATTAAGATAGGGGCCACCAACTGTCTTGTCCAAGGAGGACAAGATCTTAGATGTTGTCCTTGCCGAAACCTCTCCCTTCTTGAAGGGCATTTCCAAAACGCTGGTGGGAAGGACTCAAAAAAAAAAAATATGTGGAGATCAAAGGATGGACCAAGACGTTGGGTGTGGCCATATGGTTGCTTGGATCCATTGGGAATTTCCAGGACGGGCTCGGTTTATAAAGGGTCACCATTGGCCAAGGGTTGAAGATCCAGCTGGATAAACTCCCTTCTTAAAAGGTGGACACAATAAAATGTAGGTTGGTTCTTTGTACATCAGGGTTGTCTTCCCCACCTGCTCATCCCAAACTGTCCAGATTCCAGAGTCTAGGATTTTTCTCCCTGGGCTTTTGTTGTAGCCTCATAATTTAGGGCGGGAGGTGGTGTCTCCCGTGACATGGCAACAGGGAGCAGAACCGAAGGACGTTTGCGCTGCTCGGACCCTCCGTAACGGTGCCTTTGCTGACCGATCCATAGCTCTCTAGTGCAAAAGAAGAAACCGGAATGGAGAGAGCGGGCGTCTGTACCGACAGTGTGGTGCACGCACCGAGGGCCGTCTTGGCCAGGGGTGTTCCACAGAGAGTCAGCGACTTGGATCTTCTTCTTTCCCCTAGCAGCCTTGATGTCACAGGGCTGGATGCAAACACATGCGCATCAACGTGGCGGTTCTCCGGATGATAAAACTCATCGACCTCCAGTGTGCAACTTGGTCCTTGTCCTGCTAGCACCAATCATCTTCGTCTCGCTCGTGGTAATAGCTACGCGCCCTAGTGCTGGTGCCAGGTCCGGCACTCAGTCCCAAAACATAATGGTACCCATTGGGGACTCGGCGGATTTGATGGGACTGGGACGTTAGAGAGGAAACGTAAGAGGTTCGGGAGGACCTCCCTGAATTGGTGGCCATGGCCTCCTCAAAGGTGAGGGTGTCCTCAGGCATCATGTGGTAGGGACTATCGCTCTCTTCCCGGTGTCCCAGGTAAGGGTCCGAACCGATCCGGGCCATCAGGGTTTGTGAGGGTCCCTGGGAGTCGCCATGCAGCAAAGCATTGTGCTCAGAGAGACCCCGGCTCAAGCGTCCCGGGGAGAAAGTTGGCAGGCCGGTCTGGAACCCGGAGAAATGCACAGGCGAGGAGTTGGCAGTCTTGTAGGTAATGCTAGGGCGTGGCGTCAGCGGGGTCTGCGGCAACTGCCTCCGACCACGGCAGGGGGTGCTAGCACCAGAGGTCAACAGCAGGGGGCTCCCGTTAACTGAACCACTGCCCTACATGAAGATTGGAAGAAAGTAAATGAACAAAACAAAAACCAGGAGGAGGAGAAGGAAGATATGGAGAAGGAGGAGGAGGAGGAGGAGGAGGAGGAGGAGGAGAAAAAGGAGGAGGAGGAGGTGAAAGAGAAGAAAAAGAAGGAGAAAAAGGAGAAGGTGAAAGAGAAGAAGAAAAAAAGGAAGTGGAGGAAGAGAAGGAGGAGAAGGCAAAAGAGAAGGAGGAGAAGGAGAAAAAGGAGGAAGAGGAGAAGGTGAAAGAGAACAAGAAGGAGAAAGAGAAGGAGAAGAAGAAGGAGAAAAAGAAGGAGGAGAAGGAGAAAGGAGAAGGAGAAGGCAAAAGAGAAGAAGGAGAAAGGAGGAGGAGGAGGAGGAGGAGGAGGAGGAGGAGGAGGAGGAGGAGAAGAGAGATATGGAGAAGGACGAGAAGGAGAAGGATGGCGGGCAATAATAAGAATACCAGACGGACACAGAGTCGCATGTTGGAGTAGAGTGGCAAAACACAAAGGACAGAAGAATGAATGACATGAACAGAGGAATGTATCGTAGGATAAAAAGAAAACAAAAAACAAAAAAGGGAAAGAGAGAATTTAAATGTGCACAGTCAAGGACAGGGAAGCTGCTCCAGCACCATTTGAACAGAGGGAGAAATACAGGAAACCAACAGGGAGGAGGAAGGATTCCAAATGAAGACAACCGGCGAGACAATACTGGGGGAGCAGACAGGGGAGCTAGGTGGTCCACCTTGAAAAGTCAGGAGGTCCACTGCGCGTTTCCAGATCAACATCAAGTCCTTTCCGACTTGCAAGGTTCTGCTAACGTAGCCTTGCAATCAATTCAAATGAGCGCCTCTGGTGACGACTCCTCTCGCTCTGCTCTGCTCGGAAAGGCTGATGCTACCATGGTGTCCTCTCCCTCTTTGGGGATGAGAGATCTTGAGTCCAGCCTCGCCCCTCCTCTCTCCCCGCCCCCCCACCTCCCCTTCTCACCTGTTTCTGGGTCCCGTGTTCCTGCCCTCCGCCGGGGGATGGGGGTCTACTGCCTTCCGAGGACTTGGGCTGATCCCGACTCCCAAAGCGGTCGCAGGAGTAAAAGCGCTGCTTTTCAGAGGAAGAAGAAGAATGGACTTTTCGTTCCTGGGACCGGCCCCGCTCCTGTTTTCTGGACTTGGAGGTGGCTTCTTCTGCTGGGGAGGCGACGGGAAACCAAAGAATTCAAATTATTCTAGTCGGTCATAATCAAACAAGGTTCACGCATAAGCACGAAGACCTACAAACAGAGATGCAGAATACAGAGTGCAGAATAACAGAGATGGAAGGGACCTTGGAGATCTTCTAGTCCTTCTAATGAAGACAATTATCCAGTAGGATAGTGGGTGCTCCATCCCTGGAGGTTTTGAAGAAGAGGCTAGACAGTCACTTGTCTGAAATGGTGTAGGGTCTCCTGCTTGAGCAGGGGGCTGGACTAGAAGACCTCCACGGTCCCTTCCAGCTCTAGTCTATTCTAGTCCAACTCCCTGCTCAAGCAGGAGATCCTATTCCATTCCAAACAAAAGGTTGTCCAATCTCTTCTTTAAAAAACTCCAGTGATGGAGCACCCACAACTTCTGGAGGCAGGTTGTTCCGCCGATTAATGGTTCTGTCTGGAAATTTCTCCTTAGTTCTAGGTTGGACCTCTCTTTAATTGCTTCTTGTCTTGCCCTCAGAATAAATTGGCCCCCTCTTTTTTGTGACAGCCCCTCAAGTATGCGTGCAGACTTTTCATTATTTCCATTGGGTATGACTGCAGACTAAAGGGAAGTCAACATAATCAACCAAATTGAACGACTGTAGCTCAACATTTTAAAATGAACCCAACTTTTAATTTTATATATATCTCAGCAACATTGACACCTTCCTCTAACTCTGCTACGTAGGAAGATTGGGATGGGAACTCTCAAACAATAATACACAATCCAGTTTGAGAGACAAAGAGATTTTAGAACAGAAGGCAGATCTTCCTAGGGGTTTAAGTATACGTACTTCAAGTCCCAGAATCCTAGGCAACACACGACCATTGCTAAGGATTCTGGGAGCTGAAGGCCACACTTCTGAAGGATACCCAGACTGGAGCATGCTGTTGAAAAATTTCAACATGGTCAACCAAGCTGGAGAAATATAAGGCACCCTTACCGGGAGCTTCACCCTCAATCAAGTGGTTGGGTGGCTTGTCCACTGACTTCTGCTTCTTCTCTCTCCGCCGATGGCAACGATGGTGGTGATGGTGATGAGTATGTTCAGCTGGCCGGGGATGTTCGTAAAGATGTGTGGCACGGGGACGCTGTGGGTTGAGTGTGGAGACGGACCGCTTCATGGGGCTGGTGTCTGGAATGGGCTGTGGAAAGAGGAGAATGCAAAGAGGTTGATTGGATGTCCACCATCCAAAGGTAGCATCTTTTCCTTCACACAACTGGATCTTGTGTCTGATTTGTTTTAACAGTAGTACAGAGTTGGAGGGGGCCTTGGAGATCTTCTACTCCAACCCCCTGCTCAGGCAGGAGACCCTATACCATCTAGACCATTGTCCAATCTCTTCTTCAAAACCTCTAGTGATGGAGCGCCCACAAATTCTGGTGACAAGCTGTTCCACTGGTTAATTGTCCTCACTGTGAGGAACTTTCTCCTGAGTTCTAAGTTGTCTCAAAGGTGCCAAGTGGATTTTGTTTTTCCTTGAAGACATTTCTCTTCTCATCCCAGAAACTCCTTCAGTTGAAATGAAGTGAACTGAAGGGGAACTGAAGAAGCTTCTTGGAGGAGAAGCGAAACATCTTTGAGGTAAAACAAAGTCCGCTTGCCTTTTTTTTGGGGGGGGGGGGGAAAGGGCATCTTTGGGACAACCATGACCTGGATGACTGAGAATCTCCACAGACATTTAGTTCTAAGTTGATTCCTTTCAATTAAAACTCGTTAGTATCTGTGGGAGTCCTTTGGTGCCCTCTGATCACTGATGATGTTACTGAGTTTGGTGATGAAACGTCTGCAAGAAAAAAAACCCAGCACACAGAGCACCAAGGACCCCAACGTCCAACTCTTTAGCATCTCCCTTTCCAATATCAAAGCAATAAAAAGTCATATTTTCATTTCTTTAAAGGACGTAAAGTAAACTTTTCATTCATTATCTTCCTCGTGGAGATGCTCTTATAATATAGGGACTCGCAATTCTTTTCACCCAAAGTGCTTTTTCAGGAGGCAACTGGACTTTCTTGTTTTTCTTTGAAGACGTTTCGCTTCTCGTCCAAAAAAGCTTCTTCAGCTCTGACTGGATGGTGGAGGATGGAAGGATTTATACTCCTTGCAGACTGCTGGTCATTTGCATGCTTTTAGAGAGTCGTTGAGACCACTTGGAGGTTTACTTATGTTTTGCTTCTCATCCAAGGAGCTTTTTCAGCTCCGATTGGATGGTGGGGAAGGGAAAGATTTATACTCCTTGCAGACCGCTGGTCATTTGCATTCCTTTAAAGAGTCATTGAGGCCACTTGGAGGTTTACCTATGTTTTGCTTCTCATCCAAGAAGCTTTTTCAGCTCCGACTGGATGGTGGGGAAGGGAAAGATTTATACTCCTTGCAGACAGCTGGTCATTTGCCTTCTTTTAGGGAGTCTTTGAGGCCACTTGGAGGTTTATTGTGACACAGTGGGACACATTAGGACACAGGTAAATCTCCAGGTGGCCTCAACGACTCTCTAAAAGAACGCAAAGGACCAGCTGTCTGCAAGGAGTATAAATCTTTCCATTCCCCACCATCCAGTCAGAGCTGAAGAAGCTTCTGGGATGAGAAGCGAAACGTCTTCAAAGGAAAAACAAGAAAGTCCAGTTGCCTCCTGAAAAAGCACCTTTGGGACAACCACGACTTGGAGGACGGAGAACTTCCATAGACTTTCACCACAGAACTACAATTTTTCCCAGCTTTTGAGAGCTGATTCCATCCTTGGGAGACAGGCCCGACTAAAATGTACAGTTGTTTAAACACTTATAGAGGAGAAGCGCAGCTCAGACTATCAAGACATTTAGCGCCTCTGGATTGAGTTATTTCTTCCTTCTTAAAAAGAAAGAACGAAAAAGCCACCGAAGAATGCAGGGGATCTGCTTAAACCCCTTCCTTGACTAGACTATTACTGGACAGGTGAGTTCAAACAAGCTACATACTGATAGATATCGCCCTGGTGACCGTGATTTGCTCCTCTGCAAGCAATTCAGACAGAAAAAAATGGCATGGGTCCCAAACCAGCAACAGTCAGACATCCCAGGAGGCACGTGAGAGACGAGATGACCAAGGAGAGGGAGGGAGGAAGGGAGGAAGGAAGGAGGGAGGGAGGGAGGGACAGAGAATGAGGTCCACGAAGACCAAGGAAGGGGTGGGTGAATGGAGACAAGAGACAGAAATGTTAGTCAACAGATATTCATGAGAAATGATGGTTGGGTGAATACGGGTTTTTTTTTTAATCCCTAACAAGATGCTTTTTTAAAAAAACATCCAGAAAAAAATGGAGGGTCTGAATAGTTCTTTACTGTTTGCCTTTCATTCTCTCTTAGGACACCCATACACGCTGATGGCGTTATCTAGTTTGGCAATGAAATGTCTGCAAGAAAATCCACCAAGCTCAGAAGACCCCACAGTCGTCTTTCTCCTCTTCCTCCTCTTCCTCTTCCCCCCTCCTCCTCTTCTCCACAAACCCCACCCCCTCCTAGCACTGATGATGTTACCTAGTTGGGTCATGAAATGTCTGCAAGGAAACCACCCAGCTCAGAGAGCACCACGGACCCCACAGTTGTCCTTCTCCTCTTCCTCCTCTTCCTCCCCCCTCCCTCCTCCTCCTCTTCTCCACAAACCCCACTCCCTCCTAGCACTGATGATGCTACCTAGTTGGGTCATGAAACGTCTGCAAGGAAACCAACCAAGCTCAGAGAGCACCAAGGACCCCACAGTTGTCCTTCTCCTCTTCCTCCTCTTCCTCTCCCTCCCCTCTCCTCCTCTTCTCCACAAACCCCACTCCCTCCTAGCACTGATGATGCTACCTAGTTGGGTCATGAAACGTCTGCAAGGAAACCAACCAAGCTCAGAGAGCACCAAGGACCCCACAGTCGTCCTTCTCCTCTTCCTCCTCTTCCTCTTCCTCCCCCCTCCTCCTCTTCTCCACAAACCCCACTCCCTCCTAGCACTGATGATGCTACCTAGTTGGGTCATGAAACATCTGCAAGGAAACCACCAAGCTCAGAGAGCACCAAGGACCCCAGAATATGGTAAAAGTGCTAACCTGAGTTTCTGCTGCCAGCCGAGGCATGGAAGCTGCTCGCCCTTGACTCTCCAGTCCCGGCTGATGTTCCCCATTGGCTAAAGTTGGGCTGACTTCTCGCATTTCAACAACCTGGAAAACGCAGCGACAGAGTAACAGGCGTGTAAGGCTGTTGCCTACGCACCTTTGTCCAAATTTGTCCTCTCTTTTTTTTTTTTTTGTCCCAACTGAACCAGCTCCTTCAATAAATACTCTCTTAAGAGAATTTCTGTTTGATTTAATAATGAATGAAGGCAGGGAATTTCTTGACATTATACTTGATAAGTATTTAAAGGTGTAAACTTTACAAAAGGGCTTAAAAGATTTTTTTTATAGATGTGGATTGATGAAATGATAGAATATATTTTAAAAAACAGAACTGTATTTGTTGGATTTATATTGTTATTTTAAACGTGAAAAATACGCTGTAATAGAGAGAGAGTAAGAGCCATTTGTGATAGGGAAAAAAATTAGTTTTAATGAACGATCTATTATTAAGGATACCTGAAATCCCAACTATAGGTCTATTGAAATGTAACTGGAATAAGACAATTGCAATTAGTAAAGCTTAAAAACAGGATATAGATTATCATAATTGCAAGGTGATTGAGGATCTTACAAACTAACTTGAAATAGATTTTAACATAATTAAAATTAAAATTATTCATTATAATAAGGAATGTCTCTCGTTTAACAAATATTAATTAAACTCGATATACATATACTGAAACAAAAACTTACTAAACTGTGAGACTGGTGGTGCAACACAGGATTCGAAAACATATTTTTTTACCTTTTTTGGTTATTTTGAAAATAATATATATATATAAAAAAAATACTCTCTTAAGAGATGAAAGAATTCCAAAATTTGGGTTTCTGCTAAATATGTAAGGCCAAAACGGGAAATAAAGTGGAGGGTGGATACGGTGTTAAGATTTTCTAGGAAAATCCTTTTTTTCTTAAAAAAAAGAAAAAAATTATGTTTTCCCTCTCCTCCTGCATGTGATATCTCCACCGTCTTGCTTGCCTGTTGGACAGGAATTTCCTCCGAATGGCCCCGTTGAAACGCTGGTGTCCTAGTTTCGTAAAACATGTTCTGGGTGTGTTGGATCCCCCAAGAAACCGATTCTTTGATGCCTCCTCCTTTGGGCATTGGCCTGTTTCAAAAGAAGAAGAGAAGAGGGTCCTAAAAACCACCTGGCAGAAGAGTTGTCCTAGGGAGGGCTAAGGAAGAACCGTCAAATAGAAGGACTTTTGCTCATGTGCAACGGCCATCGACAGAAGCACCGGAGAACATCAGACCACACCCGAAGAAGGAAACAGCTCACGTCTTCCAACAAAATGGACGCTTGTGCCATTTTGTCGAACAGCTGGCTCCGTCCACAGCTGGAAGTGTTCATCTATCTGCCTCAAGCTAAGTTGAATCAATGAAAAAAAAGGAGGGGTGGAGTACTTACAGGGCACCCCCATTGTTGAGTGACGCGGAGCTCTTTTGACGCAGAAAAGCATTCGGAAATCCTGACTGGCTTTGCTCAAGGGCTGCTTTCAATGGATGGAAAAGGGAAACAGTCCCGGTCTAGAAGAAGTAGAGAGGAGAGAGAATCGTAGGACTGGGAGGGACCTTGGAGGTCTTCTAGTCCAGCCCTCTGCTCAAAACCATCCTTATTCCATCCCAGTCAAAAGGTTGTCCAATCTTTTCTGGAACACCTCAACCGATGGATCACCCACGACTCCAGGGGGCAAGCTATTTCATTGGTTAATTGTCCTCACTTTCAGAAAAATTCTCCCTAGTTCCAGGTTAGATCTCTCTTTAACAAGCTTCTACCCAATGTTATTGTCCTGCCTGCTGGTCCTTTGGAGAATAGCTCAACCCTCTCTTCTCTGTGACAGTCCTCAAGTACTAAAAGACAGTTATTGGGTCACCCTTGGTCCTTCTCTTTGTCAGACCAGACATATTTAATTTCCCTCAACTGTTCATTGTATGATTTAGCCTCCAGACCCATTATTACCTTTGCTTCTCTTCTCTGTAACTCTTCCTAGGGCCTCAGCATCTTTTTTTGTATCATGGTGACCAGAATTGGACCTGGATCACTGTCCTTTCTAGTGTTTTGAACACAGCAAAGGACAAACTGAAGTTGACAGAAGCATTGAACTTCACTGAATCCATGGCCAGGGAGATGGATGGATGGATGATAGAGGGATGGATGAATGAATGGATGGATGGATGAATGGATGGATGGATGAGTGATAAAGAGAGGGATGGATGGATGGACAATAGAGGGATGGATTGATGGATGATGGATGGATGGATAGATGAATGAATGGATGGATGATAAAAAAAGGGATGGATGAATGGATAGGTGATAGAGGGATGGATGGATGGATGATAGAGAGAGGGATGGATGGGTGGATGGATGATAGAGACATGGATGCATAGATGGATGGGTGGATGGACAATAGAGGGATGGATCGATGGATGAATGGATAGATGGATGGATGATAGAGGGATGGCTGGATAGATGAATGGATGATAGAAAGAGGGATGGATGGATAGATGGATGATAGAGAGAGGGATGGATGGATGGATATTTACCTGACAGAGACCTCCAGGCCCTGAGTGAGAGGGGTCACGGGTGTTCTTGTTTTGTTTGTAGAAATCAAATATCATCAAGGCTGCATAAACCTTCCCCACTGTCATGGCTTCAGCTAATCGGGAAAGACAGAAGAAGCCACAGAAAGCAGAAAATCAATTAACAACAGATGGAAGCAAAAGGTAGCAAAATGAACTGTGGCTGGAGAGTCTATGCCAAGTCAAGAAGTCAAACATTTGAAAGTTCCAGCTGACTTCAAACCAGAGTTGTAGTTGAACACATCTGGAAGGGAGCCAATGGGGTAAAACTGTGTTATGGCTATTATGCTCTTACTAATAGATAGACGTTCTCCACCCAACAAACGTATTAGATATTGGTCTTCTTCTGATACTTGGCTGGGGGGAGGGGAAATAAACTTGGATTGATGTTTGTTTTCCATTGTGGGTGTTTTTGTGCTTTCAAGTCAATTAGGACTCTTGGCAACTGCCTGGACACAACCTTGAGGTCCTCTTGGCAAGATCTTTTTGGAAGTGTTTCCCATCATTACCTTCTTCTTGGTAGGGCTGAAAGAGAGGGAGACTCCTTCCTTCCTTCCTTCCTTCCTTCCTTCCTTCCTTCCTTCCTTCCTTCCTTCCTTCCTTCCTTCCTTCCTTCCTTCCTTCCTTCCTTCCTTCCTTCCCTGGGCTGGCTTTGTGTGTTAGTTAGAATTATAGCTCATGGTGTCCTGATTTCTAATCCAGTGCCTTTAACCACTAGGCTACACTATCTCAGTGAATAGTATTAAGTAATAATAATGGTGCAATTAATGTTTCTTTCCACTTGCTCAGGTACAGAAGGATTCAGAGCGCTTACGTTTATGAGGTGGCACTAACAGATCCAAAGTTTTGGAAGACAAATTGGGCCAAACCAACGAAACCTCCTTCCTTAGTTCAGCATCACACTGGTGTTGCAGCACACCTGTGAGATTAAAAAGCAAAGAAACAAGATCCTTAAAAAGAACTCTTTCAAATCAAACCACATTCTCTTTGGTCCAATATTCTGCTCTCCTCCTCCTCCTCCTCCTCCTCCTCCTCCTCCTCCTCCTCCTCCTCTCCACAAACCCCACTCCCTTCTAGCACTGATGATGTTACCTACTTGGGTCATGAAATGTCTGCAAGAAAACAACCAAGCTGAGAAAGCACCAAGGACCCACAGTCTTCCTCCTCCTCCTCCTCCTCCTCCTCTTCAGAAACCAACCTTACCTGATGCAAGTTTGATGTCCAGGGCTGTCCGGATCAAGGCCATTAGCGTTGATGTGAAGTGGACACTTAAATCATCGTTCGAGATGGGCATATTCATCCTGACCAAACGCTGAAGAAAAGACAAGTCTTCTGGTCAGGTCTTCTGTCCCTCCTCACCCACTCCCAACCTCCACCGGCTATTCCCCTCCAAAGTAAAAGAGGACAACAATGTCCCACAAGATTTAACTTTTCATGTGCTGAGATGGTTTTCGTCATGGGCCAGAGAGAAAAAGGTCAGGCACGGTTTTGGAGCAGTGTTTTTTTTTTTAACCCTTTAGCACAGGAAAAGTTCAACACAAGTGTAGGTGTGTTATTTTTTTCATGCAGCGGAAGGAAGGAAGGAAGGAAGGAAGGAGATGGGAAGAGAAAGGGAGGGAGGCAAGAGGGAGGAAGGAAGGAAGGAAGGAAGGAAGGAAGGAAGGAAGGAAGGAAGGAAGGAAGGAAGGAAGGAAGGAAGGAAGGAAAGATGGAAGGAAAGATGGAAGGGAGGGACAGAGGGAAGGAGGGAGGGAGGAAGGAAGGACAGAAAAATATTTTGAGAGGAAGGAATGAAAGAAGGAAATGGGAAGAGAAAGGAAGGAAGGAAAGGAAGGAGGGAGGGAGGAAGGAAGGAAATGGGAAGAGAAAGGAAGGAAGGAAAGGAAGGAGGGAAGGAGGGAGGAAGGAAGGAGAGGGAGAGAAGGAGAGAGGGTGGGAGGATAAGGGAGGGAGGGAGGTTAAAGTTCCTTTGAGATAATGCTGTCCTGAAACATAGCAGAATTACACTTCTAACACATGCTCTTTGGAAGATCTCATGCACAGTATCTCCATCGCCGGGATCATGCCGTACAGACACACAGAAGGATGGATCAACTATAGCCCGTAAGAAGCATGTGGAGGAGAAACACCAGGTGCATGTCAGAAGGTCAATTGAGAGCAAAAGAGATGATGAAGAACCATGGTTGGCAGAACCAGCTCTTGGAAACAAGGAAGCAACTGGACAGGGTGGGACAATCACAACATCTTTCAGTCTCCAAAAGACAAGGACACAACAGATAAGAGGGACGTAGAGGCCACAAGAAGCCAGAAGGAACAGAAAGGCAGAACTCTTTCTCTCTCTCTCTCTCTCTTCAAAAGCTGGTTGGTGTCTTCAGAGAAGTAACAGTGGCCTGTCCTTCTCCACGAGAAGGAAGCCTTCTACATCCAGATCAGGGCATGGATGAGAAAGCTATTCGGTTGCTCAAGCAACGTCTTTGCTGGACAACTACCTGGCTAGGCAGAGCGTCAAGCTCTAAGATAGCAAGGACGTAAGCCTACTAGATCAAGGATCCAGACCTTCTGCTCCAAGGAAACTGAGAGAAGTGAAGCTCTTAGCCTTTGAAGGACATGGCTCACAATGGTCCTGTTCTCCAAAGGTGAACAGGACCATTGCTTTGCAGGTGCTTTTAAACAGCCACCTCAGGCCATGGTGAGGATGGACAAGGAAGTCTACTAACAACTGCGTTCAGCTTCAGTTTCATCCAGGGCTGCCAATTAATCTCAACTTATTTGCCTTCTCCTCATTCTTCTACTTTAATTTTTCTCGTTCACATTTCATTTTGTCCCTCTTTTCGGCATCCTCTCTTCAATGATCCTATCCCTCTATTTCTTCGATACGTAACTCTCGTCTCACGATGGGTTGTCGTCGTGCAACGAGTTGGCCATGCCAAGTTGGGGTAGACCCGCCATGGGAGCAGTTAGGTATCTGCCTGGGCTTTGGCAAATAGAGATTGCATGAGAGTAATCCCTAGTTTTTGAAGACCATTCTGCGTGTGTGGCATTCTCAGGTGTGTTTGTTCTCTTTTCGGTCTCGTGAAATGAGAATCCAATCGGGGCGACCATTCTTGTCTTTAATTGGAGAAGTCCAGATTTGGACGTCCCTTTGGTCGTGATTTGGACACCCCTGGACCAGATGAGAAAAGAGTTCTGCTGAAGCTACGAGAGTAGCAAGAAGGAAGGAAGGAAGGAAGGAAGGAGAGAAGGAGGAAAAGGGAGGGAAGGAGAGATGGGAGGGAGAAGGAAGGAGAGAAGGGAGGGGGAGGGAAGGAGAGAAGAAAGGAAGGNCTCCCAATTCTGAGTTTGGAAACATTTTTAAGGCCGACAGTCCCGCAAGGCTGCCGTATCCAGGCAAGGAAGGACTAAGTTGGGCAGAAGGAAAAAAATGCAGCAGGCACAAAGGGGCAGACACAAGCTTGCCCGTCATTTCTATTGATGCAACCGGTTAGTTCCATTCCAAGGTTATTTCCATTTTCCTTTGTTTGTTGCAATGCAGTTTACAAAGGACCCCATTCGGTGGCAAATCAAGGCAACCTCTCCTCCACCCCCCCCCCCAAAAAGAAAGAAAGGACTGGAATTTCCTTAAACCCCCCCCACCCCGAAATTCCAAACCTTGTATGCCACTCTATGAGGGCACTTCTTTCCTAAGCCCAAGGGTGGGGCAATAGCTCGGAATAAATTGTACATATCCTTATAATGTATCCGGCAACTGGAAAGAAAACAGACATTCATAAGTCGCGAGTCAATAGGAAGAAAAGAAAAAAAAAGCTGTGATTAATTTAAAAAAAAAAGTCTTTCCTGGAACCTCCTATCTCCATCCCACAATAACATGACAAGGAGAAGAAGAATTGGAGAGGGGGGGGGGAAATGGCATTTCATAATTCATGACTTCCCGTTAGAAAATTACCCTCTGCTTAAGACCCGTAAAAGTAATTTGTTAGATGCTGTTAGGTAGGAGGAGATGAACCAGTAGCAATAGCAATAGCACTTAGACGTATATACCGCTTTACAGCCCTTTCTAAGCGGTTTACAGAGTCAGCCTATTGCCCCCTCCAACAATCTGGGTCCTCATTTTACCGACCTCAGAAGGATGGAAGGCTGAGTCAACCTTGAGCCAGTCAGGATCAAACTGCTGGCAGTGGGCAGAGTTAGCCTGCAATACTGCATTCTAACCACTGCACCATCATAGCAGATAGATAGATAGATAGATAGATAGATAGATAGATAGATAGATAGATAGATAGATAGATAGATAGATAGATAGATAGATAGATAGATAGATAGATAGATAGATGGATGGATGGATGGATGGATGGATGGATGGATGGATGGATGGATGGATGGATGGATGGATGGATGGATGGATATGATACATAAATAGATAGATAGATAGATAGATAGATAGATAGATAGATAGATAGATAGATAGATAGATAGATAGATAGATAGAAATAGCACTTAGACTTATATACTGCTTCACAATGCTTTACAGTGCTCTCTAAATTGTTTGCAGAGTCAGCCTATTGCTTCATTTTACTTCATTTTACCAAGGATGGAAGGCTGAGTCAACCTTCAGCCGGTCAGGATCGAATTGCTGGCAGTGGGCAGAATTAGCCTGCAATACTGCATTGTAACCACTATGCTACCACGGCAATAGAAATAGAAATAGAAATAGCACTTAGACTTACATACCGCTTCACAGTGCTTTACAGCCCTCTCTAAGCGGTTCACAGAGTCAGCCTTTTGCCTCCAACAATCTGGGTCCTCATTTTACCGACCTCGGAAGGATGGAAGACCGAGTCAACCTTGATCCAGTCAGGATCAAACTGCTGGCAGTGAGCAGAGTCAGCCTGCAATACTGCATTGTATGGATACCGATCCAGCTTCCCAATCTCCATCACCCAAAATATTGATGGGTCTTGAACATTGCAGTGAGGAACCCCGACATAACTGTCTTTGAGGGTAACCAGTCAACCCCCCCTTTTTTTCCCCCTTGGATGATCTTCTCCCAATGCGAGAAGCAGCTCCACCAATCCAACGCCACCTTCAGAAGACCAAAAGTGGGTGAGCAAGGAAGATAGGACTGGGATAGAGATACATACCAAGCAGCTGGGTCATATTCTGCCCAAACTCGAATGAATTCATCCAGATGATGAGGTCCTAGGATGGAAGAATCTCGTGTCAAGTACTCAAAGTTGTCCATGATTACAGCCACAAATAGGTTCAACATCTGCAAAGGGAGGGAGGAAATGAGATCAGGGCAGGGAGGAGGAAAGTTATCGACTTTGGTTGTGGTTGTTGATAAGCGAGTTGCCAACTTTTTTTAGACCAACGGAGGAGGGCACAGACCGGAATAACGAGGGTAACTTTTTCAGGCTCAAAGGAAAGCTACACCCGAAAGAGACGG